TTGCCTGATGGGTATATGGCCTCAATTGCTAGTCTTCAAGCCTTATTCCACAAAACATGATGTTCTTAAATTTTGATTAAAAGGCAGAAGGCAAGGTGTTTGTAATGAGATTCTCAGATCTGCTGTGTGATGTGATGTCTGGTCTCAAAAACTAAGATGGCAGTGGCAAAAACATACAGCTTGTGACTGACTGATGCGTGAGGACGCAGGCCTACATCTTTCTATACAGTCTGTGGTTAAAATACCATTTTCATATTGTTGGCTAGCAATCACACCAGATGCACTTAGGTCAAGTGAACTGGTGTGACTGGTGATGACACCTTTTGCAGGTATCTCGTCATAGAATGAACAATGACAGTACAGGGATCAACACAATTTCAAATATGACACTTTATGGGTCCAATTACTCTGATGCACAGGTCAACATTCAGGTTGCTAAAACATAAAACGGTACAGAATGACCAGTGTTAGGGAACATCTTCTGGGAAGCATTTACTACCGTGAAAATCTTGTAATATTTCTGCCTTAGCACTGCTAAAAACTGAAATTATTATTAGTTAATAATAAGACAGTAAATCAAAAAGACATAACAGTAAGCAGACACAATTTAGTCATGGCTGTGATGTGGTCCTCTGCAGCTTCTGTAGCTGCAGTGAATGTAGATACAGTGTTGTTGGTGTGTGTGGTTTCTGTGCTATTAACACCAGAAAAAGCAGATATGTGGAGGAACCATGCAGCCAGAGCTGTCTATTTTTTTATTTATTTATTTTTTATCACTTTCATCAAATTTAGGAGTGTATATATATACACTACGTTTATTGTATCTTTAATTAATAAGAAAACTCCAGACATTCCATTCTGAGCTTAAGAAGCTTCTGATAGGTTAGTAGAGTCCATTTGAGTAAATTGGTGGCACACCTGTGGATGCATACACAGGTGGCACCCCCAAAACAGAGCCGGTTTCTTTGACATGGGAAGACATATCAACCAAGACACCAGGAAAAGAATTGTGGACCTCCATAAGTGTGGCTCAATTTTGAATACAATTTGGGTGTCATTTGTAATTAAGAAATACATACAATTTCTCTCTTTACTCTTAAATTTAACAAATGTGTTTTTTATATTTATCAATCTAAAAAGAATAAACATTTAGTCTGATTTAATGTTTTACAATTAAAAAAGTGATTGTTTTTATTTGAAGAGTATGTAAATATCTGGTTTCAACTGTATATTTGATGATGTTGGTGTTTGGCTTGATTGTTAGCACAAAGAGGGAGTCTCATGTTACCACAATAAAGAGGTATTGTTAGTGTAGTGCAGGTTTTGTTTATTTTCTGCTCTGAATGTGCACTTTTTTCTACTAGTTTCTATGAAAAGTGCTGCAGAATTAAAGTTTTAATCGATTGGTTGATTGTAACTCATATGAACACACACACACACGAACAACCATGCAACGTGAAGCTTTTATTTTGAAATGGTGCTGCTAGTAGCGCTTCCCGTGTGTGTGTGTGTGTGTGTGTGTGTGTGTGTGTGTGTGTGTGTGTG